AGATTTCGGTTTTTTCATGGCTGCATAATATCCCATATTATATATGTATATATGGACCACATCTTCTTTATCCATTCATCTGTTGATGGACATCTTGGCTCTTTCCAGTTTGGCTATTGTGGACATTGCTGCTATAAACATTGGGGTGCACGTACCCCTTCGGATCCCTACATTTGTATCTTTGGGGTAAATACCCAGTAGTGCAATTGCTGGTATGGTAGCTCTATTTTCAACTTTTTGAGGAACCCTCCATACTGTTTTCCAGAGTGGTTGCACCAACTTGCATTCCCACCAACAGTGTAGGAGGGTTCCCCTTTCTCCACATCCCCGCCAACATCTGTCGTTTCCTGACTTGTTCATTTTAGCCATTCTGACTGGTGTGAGGTGGTATCTCATTGAGGTTTTGATTTGGATTTCCCTGATGCCGAGCGATGTTGAGCACTTTTTCATGTGTCTGTTGGCCATTTGGATGTCTTCTTTGCAGAAGTGTCTGTTCATGTCTTCTGCCCATTTCTTGATTGGTAGAATTAGTATAGTTTGACAAAATTCTTTTCAGCCCTTTTTCAGGTTAGCATTTACATGAAGTCTTCATCACCCACGTTTTGACCTAAGGCATTAAAATCAGCACATGCTCCCGGAGCACTGCTGGGGTCCAGCACTCTCCCAGGTGCATCTCCTTCAAGAAGCTGATACCCTAGTGGTAATAGAAATTGTGTTTCATAATATTCTGGCATCTATTTTTTTTTAAGATTTTATTTATTTTCTTGAGAGCAAGAGAGCTTAAGCAGGGGGAAGCGGCAGAGGGAGAAGCAGGCTCCCCACCAAGCAGGGAGCCTGATGTGGGGTTCAATCCCAAGACCCCAGGATCATGACCTGAGCTGAAGGAAGATGCTTAACTGATTGAGCCACCCAGGTGTCCCTATTCTGTCATCTTTTATTGAATCTTTCATACCCATGGCTTTTTATTCGACCCTGGTAGTATTTATGCAATATTTTTGTTACTCAATATGTATTACAAAGCATTTACATTTTTGAGTGCTGTCCTTTCATAAATTTGTTTAGTACATGAACTGTTTTCAAAATTCCTGGATACCACACACAGTCCTGTTGTGTCCTGGATATGGGCCTTTGTACAAGTCCCTGAGTTTTCTTTTTTTTTCCCCTAAGATTTATTGATTTATTTTAAAGAGGGGGGAGGGGCAAAGGGAGAGAATACTCAAGGAGATTCCCCGCTGCGCAGATGGGGCTCCATCTCCTGATCCTGAGATCATGACCTGAGCCAAAACCTGACTGTGCCACCCAGACGCCCAAGTGCCTGAACTTTGTATTTGCGTAGTGGGGTTACCAATAAGACCAGCCTCATTAATCATCTTATTGTTTCTTAGGAGAATTGAAGTCCTCATATCAGAACTCATTCTACTTTTACCAGCCAGTGAAATTCTTTGCTTCTGCTTCATCCACCTCCTGTTCCAGTGGAAGCAATGTCTACATTCTACATGTCTACATCCTTTCTACCCTCTGATGGAGGACTCCACCTTTTCAGGGATCCCTTAGCACATTTTCAGCTAATCTGTTTCTATTCACATTTAAACTTGCGTTTCTTCATCTTAAAAAAAAAAAAAAGAAAAACTCCTTTGCATCCGGTTGCGGTTTTGCTTTCGTCCCTGAGCATAACTGCATTTTCTGCTTCCTTTCTTCCCTCCCATTCACTGGACCCCTCCTCACGCCGCCGAAGCTGCTGCTGCCGCTGAGCCAGGGGTCTCCTTGTTGCCAGTTCCAGGGGGTCTATCATCCTGACCTGTAATTTCATTTTTGGATGAAGTCAGTAAGGATACAAGGACTTTGAGAGAATGTTGGGTGTTCTTAGGCCAAAAAAGAAAAAAAGCTTTCTTTTCATTAATTCCTTGACAGATATTTATCAAACACTCTTCTAATCATTGAAGATATAGTAGTTAACAAAATGAGTAAAAGTCCCTATTTCTCTGGAGCTTTTGTTAGTTGGAGGAAACAGGCGAACAAAGTAAAATAGGTCAGATAATGATAAAGGATTATCAGGAAAAAAAATTAAAAAGAGGGAGTGTAAGTTTCATTAAGGTAGATTTTAGGTGACGTGGTTAGGGGAGGCCTTGCTGAGAATATGACAGGAGAGCAAAGACCAGAGGAGGTGAGCAAAGGTACCCTGAAGTATCTGGGAGGAAAGCAGACCTTGCCAACTATTCATGTGGTCTTAGCAAGAATACTTCTTTGAGGTATGAAATGTTTTTATAAAGATTCTTGTTCTAATGATTAAAAGGAAGGCTGGATATCTTGGGGTATACGTTTCAAATTGACTTATTAGGATAAAACGGTATTTTTCATGATTTAATATTACAGAATAAGACAAATTCTAAGTTAGTTTTATTTCACATTTTCTTTGGCATCTAAGTGATTGCATGCTTTTATAGTTGGACAATTTAGATAATGACATCTTTATTCCTTAAAGAGCTATAGATGTTTTTTAAGTAAATGTGCCATTAGCTGAGGTAACTATACTACGGCTTTATGGGACTCTCAGCTAATTTACTGGGGTTTAACAGCTGTTTCAGGAAGAGAAATTTTAGCATTTATATGCTTATGTAACATTTCAGTAAAATAACTGATCTTCTGAGAGTAGTAAAACTATATATTCTCAGTATTCAAACCCTGATTTATTTCAAGCAGAAAGAAGCTCGAAGAACAAATGTACAGATTGGTGTCCATATTCCAGAAGCCATCAGAATGGGGTCTTCCTCAGCCCTCAGGTGGAACCTTAGTTAGTTAAGAACGGATTAATATGATTTGTGGAATTGATTAGTTTTCAGAGAAACCCAGCTGTTGAGTATTTAGAAAACCGTTCACAGTCAGAATCTTGAACTCGCTTCCATTCTATCTCCCTCCTCTTCTGTACCCCTTACAGGTGGGGGGACTTTAGGAGGTACTAGACACAAGGAGTAGGCAGGGGCACATACTTTGAAATTTAGGAGCCAGTAGTAATCACTTGGCCATTTCCTTTCCTAGTTTCATAACATTAAGCAGGCAGTGAGAAACATTTCTCTAAATTTTTTGTGGATTGTAAGCTTCTTTCCAGTACGATTGTATTAATTACCATGTATCGCTTGATAACTGTAAGTATGAGAATCTCTGCCTATCTAGAAAACATTCTATGGTTTTATTTGTTTAGTGGCTCATAGGGAGGGTTGAAAGGGAAGAGGAATGGGCTCTTACTGGGTTTGATAAGGATCCGGTCTCTTCTGGAACGGGGTGCTTCCATGGCAGGATGGAAAAAAGGTTTCACCTGCCCTGTCTGGGCCTGAGCAAATGCTCGTGCTCATGCTTAGAAGCGTGTAACTGCTGGGCGACTGTGCTGGTCAGTTACGGCTGGAGAGATTATATGCTCCACTATATAAACAAATACTCTGAGTATTTATAGCTGGTCTGCAGGAGCCTCGACTGGACAGGTCCCACTGCCATTCGGAGGCGGACAGGCCTTCCATGTTCTCCTCTCCCTGTTTTCATCCCCTTTCTTCTTGCCAGGGAACTCAAATAATTCTCCTATTGCTAGTAGATAATACTTGAGGTTCATGCGAGCCAGAGGGCAATGATCCTTTCTTACTGTCTTACTGATGAGTTACATTCTAGTTCTATGTCAGAAAAGTTAACGATAGAGTGTCATTTCCTTACCATTGACAGGAGATGATTCAAGAAGAGAGAGCTCAGATTTGACATTTAAACAGCCATACAAAAAATGATTGGAGCGGGAGGGGACTTCTTAAAAATAACCCTGTTTTTGGCCACTCCCCCATTCAAAAGTAATGTTAGTTTATGATTATTTAATAATAGGAAAACCTAGCATAGCAGAGTTCTGTAATTTTGCCATCTAGAAATAAACACTGTGGAAACATTTTGATGTCTGTCCTTCCCATGTTTTCAGTGCACACACACGTAGGCTCAAACCATACATACTATTTTACAAACTACTTTAAAAAGCAGTATTACAAATATTTTCCATGTGATTAAATATTCTTCTAAGATATTTTCAGTAGCTGCATTGTAGTGTATCATGTTATAATATTTAATTGACCAATCCCTTTCATTAGATGTTAGCTGGCTTTCAAATTTTTACTTTTATAAATTATACAGAGAGAACTTTGCATCAGTGTGTGAATACTTCTCTGGCTATTTCTTCAGGATAATTTCTTAAGTAGTTTCACATATTTAGTATTTTTAGTTTCTATTTCACTGAAGCAAACTTTGCTGGAAGAAGAAAACTAGTATTTCTGAATGATCCTCCGCCAGATTCTGTGCGAGATGCCTGGTAGTCTTAGAGTTCACAGAGTCTTCAACACTTTTTATCCAGTTCTATAGATGAACAAATCACTATGCGTATGTGATAAGATACTTTGCTGTAAGGTAACAGTATTTAACATTTAAATGTTTTGTTCAGCAACTAACAAAAGACCTTCGATGGTCACGAGATACTGAAAACTTACAGATGAAGGTTTTAATTCTGTTTTGGCTTTGGAGTATATATTTATAATAAGACTTTTTCAGCCTTTCGTGTTTTACCTGAGGGACTTTAGATCTAAAAACTATATGTTAATTGGCATTCTTAGCTCCCAGAGAAGATAGTGGGTGATTCCCTTGTGAATTTGGGGTTTTGATCTTATGACTGCTGTCATGGATGATTAATTTATAAATCGCCTTTTATCCGCAAATTAGAAGCAGATAATAATAGTCCCTTGTGAAAATCGTTTCCCTTCCCTTAAAGTTGCAAGTGTGGTTTCTCAGATCTTGCTTGGATAGAATCTGGGAACTGAGAGTGGACCATGTGGTGCAGGGATGAGGGAGGTTGGCAGAGGAAGGATGGGTGAGCGACCAGTCCTGACTGCATGGGAGAGCCATCAACTCTCCTCTGGGAGGTGGGGCTGGGGCTCCGGGGACCCGATGTGTGTTGTCTCACGCAGTGGTTTGTTGTGTCTCAGTCACATCGATCAGACGACAACGTGGCAGGACCCCAGGAAGGCCATGCTCTCCCAGATGAGCGTCACGGCGCCCACCAGCCCCCCAGTGCAGCAGAGTCTGATGACCTCGGCCTCAGGTGAGTGAGACACTGTCGTCCCAGCATGCCGATGAAGGCTTGTGCACGTGCAGGAGTCTCTGCAGAAAATGGTAATTACTCTTGTACGGAAACTGGAGCATGGGTGATGGTTCTTTTCTATCTGGTTTTCTGTGGGAGGCCTACCTTTTCACATAAATGTGCTTTACCCAAGCCTTGTTTAGTCATTAATTCATAAAGGGGCTGCCAACTGAAAGCCAGCATTTTTAAAGTCTCACTTTTGAAGTCATATGGCGGAGTCCTCATTTGGTTAATTTTGACATGCTTGTGTTTGACTCTACTGCTTTTCTTTTGTCTTAAAGTTGGAGGTTTCTTTCTTCCCTCTGTGGTTTGGATTGGAAGCCAAGCTATGGTGTTCTTAACTACCATTTATCTATTTATTTTTATTTATGATTTTATTTATTTGAGAAAGAGTGAGCAAGAGAGAGCACGAGCAGGGGGAGGGGGAGGGACAGAAGGAGAAGCAGACTCCCCACTGAGCAGGGAGCCCGATGCGGGGCTCCATCCCAGGACCCTGGGATCATGACCTGAGCCGAAGGCAGACGCTTAACGACTGAGCCACCCAGGCGCCCCTGATAACTGCCTTTTGAAGAGCATATTTATTCTGCCTTGAAAGTAACTGGAAGGTAGCAACGTATAAACCCCAAGCATCTTTATGAGGTTTAGTATTTGTTATTGAACACATTTCCACCCTTTTCACAGACAACAGACCTGTGTATGAATCTTTTTTCTTATTTGGCAGTGTTTTTAAACCTGCTGTTTTTCCTCATCTATGTAATGCGGATTACAATGCCCATTACTAGAGAGTGGGAAATATTAAAGGAAATCAAAGAGTAAGTATAAAGCTTTTATTTACAGTTCTGGTGCAGAACAGGAACTCAGTAAAGGTTTAGTTACTTCTCTAGTCCGTTAGATATCTTTGTTCTGTGGGCCCAAGGCCATAGTTAACCCCATCGTGCCTCTTTGTGCACAGTAGGGAGAGGTGCCCCTTCCTCTGGGAAGATGCAGCTCCAGCCGTGGCACCAGGGCTTAGAGCCTGAAGCACTTGCCTGCACCCCACACTTCCCCCTTTGCTGAGTGCCCCGGTCCCGAGCACGGGTGGCAGCCACAGTAACGGGCAGCCCTGGGGCCTCAATATTTCTCCTCAGGGTTCCCAGCCTCCTTGTCCGGCGCACCGACCAACACAGTGTGGGCGGCCGCCCGGTGGATTTTCTCCAACAGCAGCCTTTGCAAAGGAGCCACCAACAGCCTTTGCAAAGGAGCCACCAACGTGTGGGCATCTGTACAATAGGTTCACAGAAGGGCTCCTTGCCTAGGAGAGCTCGCAGGGCTCATTATGTCCTCCTGCCCCCAGAGATGGTGCCAGTGTGTGGGGTTCTGCTCCTCTGTGACTCTCTGCTCTTGCCTTTGGTGGGTAAACACTTGAATTCTAGAGAGTTAAGTGCTGAAAACAAAAATGACATGAGATTCAGGACTAAGCTGGTCTTATCATAAACTTTCTTTATATAAACTCTTGAAAAAAGATTAATTCCCTAAATCTTCCATTTTAGCTTATTTTAATAGGAATATATTTACTTATTTTCAGAATCTGTTTTATATGTAATATTTAAATCAAAAGTTTCAAGGCAAAATACTATGCAAGTATTGACTAATATTTTTACTTGATATCTAGGTTTTTTTAATCATCAAATTTCCAAATAAAGGTGAAAGCTGCCTTGTATTTATAGTCCAAAGAAGATGATTCACATTATTCATTCTGTCACGCTCCACCTAAAACCATGCCTTGGAAACTAGTAATAAATAACTCATTAATTTAAGGTTTATTTTGGAAGATTTAGGCATTTTGCGTCTAACAAGGTTGATTGTGACTCTTTTAGAACCTTGGTTTTTTTTTCTTATTAGTTTTTCTAATGGTAATGGCCTGAGGAAATAGGGAGAATTTGTATTCAAATTTGTGTTTATTTTTTTTTAAAAGATTTTGTTTATTTATTTGACAGAGAGGGACACAGCGAGAGAGGGAACACAAGCAGGGGGAGTGGGAGAGGGAGAAGCAGGCCCGCGGAGCAGGGAGCCCGATGCAGGGATCCATCCCAGGACCATGACCTGAGCCGAAGACAGACGCTTAACGACTGAGCCACCTGGGCACCCCTCAAATTCGTGTTTAAAATAAAAAGTATATATCAAATTGTTTTTAGTGGGTTTCAGAATATTTGTGTTTATATTTCCAGCTCTCTTATAAAGTATAAAATGTTTTATACACTGCATGTAAATTAGTAGGCATGCTTACTTGTAGTTGTGTTTAGTAAACAGAGGTGACATTGGCAGGGACAGTTGGAGAGGAGGGTATGGACAGAAGTTTGGAGGTACAGCATTGGCCTGAAATGGGACAAGCCCCCGAGAGAGGTGTGGGCGTGTATCCATGGTAGTAAGAGTGAGCCCTGTCAGGCATGCTGCTGGGGTCTGCTTGGACTCCCGTCAGTGAATCCTCGCAGTGGCCGTTGAAGTTCCTTGCTGGCTTTTTGTTGTTGTTGCTTTGGGTTTTTTAAAGATTTTTTATTTATTTTACGAGACAGTGAGAGAGCACGAGCAGGGGGAGTGGGAGAGGGAGACACAGGCTCCCTGCTGAGCAGGGAGCCCGATGCGGGGCTCGATCCCAGGACACCGGGATCATGACCTGAGCCGAAGGCAGACACTTAACGACTGAGCCTCCCAGGCGCCCGAAGTTCCATGCTGTTATTATCATTCTCACTTTCCATCTGAGAGAATTTAAGTAACTTCTCCAAAATCACACGGTTGGTCAGTGGTTGAAGCCGAGACTCAGTACTTGGTAGGGGCTCCTGAGCCCGTCCTCTTACGCTGCGTGGGGACCAGGGTTAGGGCCAGTGACAGAGAAGAGCCTCCAAGCCAGCGGAGGGGCAGGCCCTGTGAGTGCCCGGGAGGCGCACTGGGGAGCTGCTGCTGCAGAAGGTGGGCATGGGGGTGTTTCCTGAAGGAGGTTCTGTGGGTCACAAAATACACATGGCACCTTCCAGGAGGGGTGCTGAAAGAGGACACTCAAGGTCATTGTCTTCAGCGGGCTGGTTGGACAGTATGAGGGGTTAAGGAAGGAAGAGACAGATGTGGTAAAACCTAAGAAGTGTATTTTTAACCCGAAACCAAAAACTGATCCTAAAAAGGAAAGGGAGTCACCAGAGTTTCAGAAAGAGAAATTATTCAAAATGAGAAATATTAAGGATATAAGGATATGTGGTCATATATCCTTAAGTGTGGATTATTGTGAGTCTGGTCCCCAGCACAGACCGGCACCGAGCCGAGGTTAGCACTTGTGAGGCCTGCAGGCCTCTGAAACACGCACTCGAGTCTTGTCTTTCATTTCTTCCAGGTTAGTGCACGTTCAAGAACAAACAGGACTTTGACACGGTCCGAAATGCTTTAGGATGAGTGTCGCAAGAACTGCAGTCTTGCTGTTCCTCACACTCACGTAAAGTGACAGCTCAGATGTCCCTGTAGGAAGGTCTCGGGCCAAGGACTCCCCTTCCCCCTGGAAGCACGGCAGTCTGTGGGGGCCATGCTCGCTCCGGGGAGGGGCGTACACAGCCCAGTTTCTCAAACAGCTGTCAGAGGACAGGACCTTCTCCCTCTCTCAGGGGTTCTCCATGAGAAAAGCCACAAACCCAAAGCTCATCTGTGCTTGGATAATAATCTTTTAGAGCCTGGAGACAGTGAGGAGCAAGGAGAACTGTGAGGGTGTTTCAATAAGTTTTGAGGGCGTTTACTGTAACAAAGCAGCAAATGGCTTCCAGCTAAGCCATGGTATTTACAGTTTTCACCCTGAAGGGAATGCCTTCTGAACCTGCTAATGTGAAACTTCAGATAAAAGGGAAAACCCGCATGCCTCTTCTGAAGCACTTCACTGGGTCAGTCATCCTAAATGCAACTTGATTTACATTTTTATCATTAATTATTTAAACAAGAACTTTCTATTTTGCTTTTTTTTTTTTTTTAAGATTTTATTTATTTATTCATGAGAGAGCAAGAAGCAGAGGGAGAAGCAGGCTCCCCACTGAGCAGGGAGCCCGATGTGGGACTCGATCCCAGGACCCTGGGACCATGACCTGAGCCAAAGGCAGACATCTAACCAACTGAGCCACCCGGGCGCCCCTGGTAGAGATTTCTTTTAAAAAACTATTTAACTTACTTGAGATGATTGCCCTTTAGAAATTCTGTTAAGCGAGTTACGCTTACAGCACATGAACAGCCCTTCGATGCCTGGTTGGGATCTGTATAAAATAGTCCTCCATACTGAGAGTTTGGCCAACATTGGTGACTGTTGTGTTAGACATTAGGAAATACGGACTTGGGGAGAGAAAAGTGTGATACTTCTCCTTTGACCAGCTTTATCTATGTGAAGATACTAATTTTTTAGTAGTCATTCATTAACAGTGACCCGCAAGATAGCTGAATCTCAAAGCAAATAGTAAGTCAAGACAGTATACTCTGATGATCCAGAGATAACTTGACACCAAGGGGCTGCTAACCGTTTAGCATTAAAAATCATAAGCCTTGATTTAAATTAAGCAATAACCCAATTTTCTGCTTTTTAAAAACATGTCTTTGGTAACAATCCAAAGTCACATGTCTTCTGCAGGTACATTTTAAAGGATTCATTGTTTTTGTATTTTAAAGTGAGGCATTTATTTGGCTAATGTCCAAATGTAGCAGTGCAGCGCTTTCAGATTTCCCTGTTAATGAAAACCTGTGTGGAATTTCTGGGGAAATCTGTCTTTTTGGGTGGAGCAGAGGCTCTCTTGATCCTGGAAGATGATGCTCAGCACCTTCTCTGTGGTGGGGAAGACATTCAGAAGCACGCGGGGTGAGGGGTGCCGAGCTGCCCCCCTGCCCGCCTGCACCGTGCTGTCTCTGTGTGGGCACCACAAACCAGCGGGGGAGAGAGATGGTTCCCCAGGAAAATGCCAGGTTGA